TGTGTAAAAGAGAGTAATATCTAAATGGCACATATGAAAGTATGTTTAAATAATCGTGTTTCAGAATCCACATTCCGTCCTCCTTCCCCAGCACAGCATCGGAGCTTCTTCCCCAGGCAGAGGGGCTGTCGTCTTCAAGTTCTGCAGTAGACTCAGGCTGAAGTTTGGGGAGGAGATCTGTGTCCTCGCTGTGTAGCTGCTCTTGACCTTGCCCCCTGCAGGCATGACCAAGTGGGCTCCTCTCCTGTGAGCATCTGCCTACACGGAAAATCGAGGCTGCTGCGGTAGCCTGGGCCACAGCTGAGTCATAGTGTCACCTCCCAGTGACCGTGTTGATGCCTCTGTGCCTAGAACGGGAGCACTTGGCCTGGGCCGCTGTCTGCGGGCAGCCCTGTCTTCCGCCCCTCTGAATCCTGCGTCCCCGTCTCCGGTGGCTCTGGCCCTGGCCCAGGCCCAGAGCTTTTGTTCTCTCAGGACACAGCTTCCTCGTATTTAGGACTCATTTCTTGACTTCCCTGTGTTTCAGCATCAGTTATTTATTTGCTGATCCCTCAATTTTGACTGTCCTGGGAGGCAGGGCTGATTCAGATGTTCTTTGGCGTCACAAAGTTTAGATGAGGCAAAGAGTCCAGTGGACAAGCCACAAGAAGGGAGGGAAGGCTCTTTTTCATGAAGTTGGGGATTTGAGGCAGATGGGCTAAATTTAAGGTTTTTTTCTCTCAATCTCAGCTGAACTCTAACTTTCCTGTTTGAGAAGTTCTCAAGTGTGGGTTGAAGGCGTAGACTGCTGGGGCTGCCCCTGAGGCCTCCCGTGGAGAGACTGAAGGCTGCCCTTGGTGGCCACAGGTGCCCTCAGTGCCGGGCTCCATCCTCCTCTGGTCAGACCGGCGGTCTCGCAGTCGTATGGGCTATCCCCTTGAAAGCCCTTAAGGGACATTGGATGAGACATGTCTTAAATGAGAGGATCTTGGGAACATCGTGTGTTGGGGATCTGTGGGGTCTGTGGCTCCTCTCTGCTCCCTTGACATCTGTCTCCTTTCTGTGTATGGAAGCACTGGGGCAGGTGCTGTTTTAGGAGAGTCCCCAGTGGGGCCCTTTGTGTTGTTTGTCCTTCTGGTATTCTTTGGTTGGTCACACGGCAAATTTGCTGGAGTTTCTTTTGCTTTGTCTTGTTTTCCTATTTCCTGCAGAATGTAGCTTACCCCCTTCCCCCCGCCCCCCCACCGCCACCACCAGTGTGGTAAGACCTACAGATGAGTCTGAGCATTTTACCTGGAAGGAGTGACAGTGCTGATTCCTCCTCCAGAGAGACTGGCGGGAGTTCGTGTGGGACGACGTAGGAATTTCATGTCACTGGGTTGGTGTTGAGTGACCGCCCTTCTGAGCAGAGTCCGCCCCCCTGAGGCTGGTCTGGATGGATGCCCTGCCCCTTACTGCTTCATTTCCCAGTGAGGGTGCTGGGAGAGCCACCCGGGGTTGGTTAGCCTGTGAGGAGCGGGGAGCAGAGCACAGCACTGCTTCCTCTGTCCTCTGCCTGTCACTGCCCTGCAGCTGTCACCTCTCTGCTCTCCAGTGCCATCTTCAGGGCACACGTTCTCACGTGCTCAGGATTGGTTGGGGAGCCACAGCCATTTGGGGGATTGTATTTGTTTGATTCAGTTTCACCTCTGTCCAGCGTGCCTGGTTCTGGGATCAGTTCGTCATTGCACGAGGAGCAGGAAAAGAATGTCTTCTCAACATTAACCAATTTTTTTATCATGAAAAGTTTCAAACATACACAGAGGTAGAATATTTCATTCATCATTTATCCATCATCTAGATTCAGCAGTTAACAACAGTTTTGCCACATTTGCTTTATTTTTCCTTTTTATTTTTTTGCTGAGGTGTTTTAAGACACATCTCAAACCCCACGTCGTTTCATTCCTGCAGACTTCAGTTCACGTATCTGAAAATACAGACGTGTGTTGACATAACTGCAGCGGCATTGTCACACCTAACAGTTCACGGTATTTGTCATCTAATCTGATATCCAGTCCCTCATCGTGTTTTCTCCTTTTAGCAGCCGGCTTCTTTGACTCATCTTCCAAAGAAGGTCCTCACGTGACATCTGGTTGTTATGTCTCAAGTCTCTTTGGTCTAGAGTAGCACCCACGTCACCTTTTTCCACGCCACTTGCTTGTTGCAAACACGGGCAGTTGTCCTGTGGACTGGCGCACGTTCTGATCTTTTCCTGCTTGCGTCTTGCTGGTTCCTCTGTCCCTCCTAGTTCCTCCAGATAAACATGGGCTCTTGATTAGATTCTGCTTCAGTCCTGGGCAAGAATGTTTCCAGGTGATGCTGTGCGTTTCCTGTTGCATCACATCGACAGGCACTGGGTCTGGTGGTTCCTCGTTGAGCTTTGCTGAGATTGATGCGTGGGTTCAGGTGAGGACAGCCGGAGCCTTGCGGTGTCAAGTTCCTGATCAGCCTGCGGTCTAATGTTTTCACCCTTTTCTTATCATGGCCTGAATCAGGTATTTCGTTAGGGGTACACATTTAGTAGCTGGGTAGTTGTATTATCTTGAAACATAGTTCATAGAGGAAAGAAAGGATGGATGCTTCATTCTTCCCTTTTAAAGGTGAAAAGTTAGTGTCCTAGTTACCTCCAGATTTGTCCCTTGCCTTGAGTCTCCCTGCCCCTCTGCCTCTGTCCCTCTTTCTCTCTGCACTCCTCCCCCCGCCCCCGTAATCATCGTGAACTCATGGGGTTTTGTATATTTAATGTGCTTCAGTAGGTTGCTTTCATTATTCCTTTTGATGCTCAGTTGTCCCATTTTTGGCCGATGGCAGTCTGTTCATAAACTGGCGTCTGTGTTCCTTTGGCGTGACTCTCTTGTGTTCTGGCATAGCAAGATGTCCCAGGCTCATTTTATAAAGTGCTGCTCTGGCCTCAGCCCTTCTCCAAGGATCCCTGTGCCATTTGGTGGGAAGGGACCATTGATCTCAGTTGTCATTGTTTCCAGGCCTTTTCGGTGGATAGAGCTAAAAAAAAACCATGAATTCAAACTGGTATTTCTAAGTCAAATTTTATGTCATAGGATTTTTTTCCTTAACTTTGATTTTATATTTGTATCTCATTTCTCTTGCATTGAATTTTGGTTCCTAACAACGTTAACATAATGACTTATTTGCATTATCCTACTTTATAAAAACACCAGTGCTGTTCTAACTAACAAACTATTGAAAGAAGTTTGATTTCTTTGCAGCTCTATTTGTCAACAGAGAATGTCCCTCTAAGAATGTGCCATCAGTATACTGTACTCAAAAGTCATTTGTGGATATGTCACCAACTTGAAAGTTAACATTCATTCTCTTCATTTTGTTTTAAAATTTTAGGGATTGTTTTTCTTTTTTCTTTAATTTTTTGAATATATAAATATTTATGTTTTCAAAGTCAAAACTACATAGCAAGGTACCCTCAGAGAAGTTTTACTTCATCTTTTTTGCCTTCCTCCCCCTAGATAACTGTTTAAATTCAGTTTGTATTGTCTTTGTCCGTGTTTATTTTTATACATCATGTAAACAAATATATAAATACATTCATATTCCCTTCCTGTTTTGCACAAGAGATAGCAGAGTTTGTGTACTATTCTATGCCTGGCTCTTTTTGACTAAACTGTACTACTTAGGTTCACTCCATATGAGTGCATAATGCTCTTCCTCACTCCTTTCTTAAACGGCGAAGCAGTATTTCATTGTGAGGGAGTGCCATGGTTGATTCAGGTCCCCTGTGGACGGGCCTTCGGTTGCCTGCAGTTTTGCTGAGACAAACACTGCCCCCATGAATAAGCTGGGACATCAGTCGTTTCCTGTTTTGCTAATACATCTTGGGATAGATCTCTAGAAGTATGATTACTAGGTCAAAGGAAAGATGCATATATAATTTTTCTACTGAAAATTCTATTTATATTGACTTTATTTTTGCTGAAATTTTGGTTATCTAGTTGAATTTCATTGTTCTAACACTTCCTCCTGGAAGCAGTCCAATTTATTTTGCCATTTTAATGTTAAATCTTCTCAATCACCCACGTACCCTATCTTTGTGTGGAGTGTATTATTGAAAGTGTTATTTTAAGATCTATTAATTAAATTAATTAATTGAAGTATCACTTACTGAATATGGAATACAAGAGATGAAGAGATTGCTAAGACATGGTCCTAAACCTCAAAAGATTTTAGGTTGACTATTTTGGGATTTATTTTCTTCTGTTTCCTCCTCATTCTGTTTGTTGTATATTTTGTCCTGTGTTGGCTGTCAGAAGCCTGCGGATGAGGCACTGAGAGATGTACCTTTATCTCTCTATCAGATGAAGCAGGGTGTGTCTGTGGGGGAGAGAGGCTGTCAGGAAGTTCTCTTGAGATGCTTTCAACAAACATTCATTGAACGCCTCCCCTTTGCCAGAATATAGCAGTGAGCAACACACACGGTTCCTCCCTTGTGGTGTCTACCTCCTAGTACAGGAGACAGATCAAAAACCAAGGAACAGTAAGATAATTATTAGTTCTATGTGCTTCGCAGGAATCAAATAAGAGATTAAAATAGAGTCTTAGCCAGGGGCCTTCTTTAGGTGGGGGCATGGGGGCGGCTCACATACAAGTCACACACAGGGTGGTAGAGAGAACGTTTCAGGCACAGGGAACAGTATGTACAAAGGCCCTGAGGCAAGCATTGCCTTGGAGGGTTTGGGAACTGGAACAAAGCACAGTGAGGTCGGGGAGAGTGGAGGCAAGGTCGTGCAGGACCTTGGGTTTTAGGTTAAGGTTTTGGATTTTATTTTAAGTTCTTCAGGAAACCATTGAGGACAGTTAAGCAAGGGAATGACGTTGGATACCGATATGTCATATATTTATTCTTTGTGCAGATTGGAAGGCTACTCAAATATGATGTTTTAGCTCTAAAAGCAGCAACATTGTCCCTTCTGAAGTTCAAAGTGGATCTGCTTCTCATACTCAGGTGTAGGTCTTCTGAGGATGTCTTTTCTTTTTCAGTAATGTTCCCTTGATGTTGTTCAGATAATTACAATAAGTGGTTATAGTTGGATTGTAGACTTGGGCTATGAACAGGAGCGTGATCTCTACACGTTCTCTTCTTCAGACCTGCAAATCCAAGAGAGACATCCCAAGAGAGACATCTCACTGAAGATAAGGGAGCTTCTTCCTCAAGATCCGAAAAGGTCTGTTACTGCTCTCGCATTTATCTGAAATTAATTATGGAAGCAATAGCAATTTTCTGGACAAAGAGGCATTTTCAGTGTATCTCTGTTTCTGTTGCAGGAGCCTGGAGTGACACCTGTGTCGGGAATCCTCAGAAGGAGGGAGTGACCACCTGGAACCCAAGGAGCGTGCTTCCTGGGGAGGCTCCTGTCTGATGTGCAGGAGACAGAATGCCACACTGACTCTCCCAGGGGCGACTACAGGGGACCGGGACCGACACGCGGTGTCTCACCCTCCGCTGCAGGGGACGCTGTGCAGCGCTTTTCCTAGAAGTGAGAGGCACGAGATTACTCTACAAGAGGAAGATTCCAGGGGCTTAAAAACACAAAGGTTTGCACCTTGGGAGCCCCTTGGAATGTTGACAACTCAGGATCTAAAAGAAAGTTCTGTGTTAATGAGTTACAGAATTCATGTGGGAGTAAATGTCACTTTATAATCAATAATAATACTGAGTGAGGAACACTATGCAGGAAGAAACCTTCCATAGAAAGACAGGCAGGGAAAAGCTTAGGCTGACCTTAAACCTACGGATTAGAGCAAGCCTGAGATAAACTGCTAAAATGGCCAAATAAGAGACTTTATGAAATAGCAGTCCTGTAACTGTAGTAGTTGTAAGGAAATTTTCTCCTCTAAATCACGATACCAAATAGGAAAAATGATCTACAAGTGCCCCATGTGTAGGGAATTTTTCTCTGAGAGAGCAGATCTTTTTATGCATCAGAAAATTCACACTGCTGAGAAGCCCCATAAATGTGACAAGTGTGATAAGGGTTTCTTTCATATATCAGAACTTCATATTCATTGGAGAGACCACACAGGAGAGAAAGTCTATAAATGTGATGATTGTGGTAAGGATTTTAGTACTACAACAAAACTTAATAGACACAAGAAAATCCACACCGTGGAAAAGCCCTATAAGTGTTATGAGTGTGGCAAAGCCTTCAATTGGAGCTCACATCTTCAGATTCACATGAGAGTTCATACAGGTGAGAAACCCTATGTCTGTAGTGAGTGTGGGAGGGGCTTTAGTAATAGTTCAAACCTTTGCATGCATCAGAGAGTCCACACCGGAGAGAAACCTTTTAAATGTGAAGAGTGCGGGAAGGCCTTCAGGCACACTTCCAGCCTCTGCATGCATCAAAGAGTCCACACAGGAGAGAAACCCTATAAATGTTACGAATGTGGGAAGGCCTTCAGCCAGAGCTCGAGCCTCTGCATCCATCAGAGAGTGCACACGGGGGAGAAGCCCTACAGATGTTGTGGGTGTGGGAAGGCCTTCAGCCAGAGCTCAAGCCTCTGCATCCATCAGAGAGTGCACACTGGGGAGAAACCTTTTAAGTGTGATGAGTGTGGGAAGGCCTTCAGTCAGAGCACCAGCCTCTGCATCCACCAGAGAGTACACACGAAGGAGAGAAACCATCTCAAAATATCAGTTATATAAAGCGTTTTGCTAAGAGTTAAAAATCTTAAAACCCATAAGTGCCACTAGGAAGGAAACCCTGTAAATACCTACATTGACCCAAGAAATTTTTACAGCAAGCCCCAGCAGAACATTCTTTTCAAAGAGGCATATGTAAGGTTGATTTTTTTGATTCATGCCAAGTGTGTTCCACACTTGACTTCTGAATCTGGAGTCTCTCTGACTGTGTGCCCAGGACGGGCTGTGAGCTCCCAGTTGTGGGTGTGCGTTTCCTGGGGTTCTGGCATGGCACCTCGCTGGTTGAAATACTGCACAGGAAACCATGGTCACTGCCCAGCCTCCTGAGTCACCTTCTGTCTACACTTCCTCTGAAAGCTGCCCAGATACTCTGTCTGTGGGGGCTCACGCCCTTCCTCCTCTCGATTCAAGCATACTGGTTAGTGCATTTGGAAACAGACAGCTCCCACTAAGATAGTGTTCTGGTATTTCTGAGGTTACCACTTGATTCAGCCCCTGCACGTCTTTCCATGTATCCCATTATTTCTGAACCCACTTTACCCATATGTCCTCAAAATACCCACAAATATCCACCCCTTCCTAGATGGCATTAAATTTCATTTTAGATTGTAGGTGACTCATAAATTCCATTCACTTGGTCTATCAGAGAAATCATTGGCAGACATACATGCCCTTGAACTTTTCTTGATCTTTTTTTTAATTTTGTGGATTCTGCTAATCACTGTGTCTCTGTTAGTCAGACTTAATTTTATAGTGGCTACATCACATATTTTTAACTTGAATTTTTTTGGAAATAGCTGAATGTAAATAGCAGGGAGGAAGAAGCAAGCAAAGTTGGAACTTTCCTCCATCCAGAGTTGCCCTCTCAGGCTCCTTCTGTAACGTGTGGAGCTCCTTATTAGCTGGGGGAGGCCATAGGAGACGTGGATGGTAGGAGGGGTCACTGATAATAATTAGTCTCTGTTTCTGTAATTTTAGGCAATAACGTGTGGGAGTCCTTGAAACTCCTTCATTGAGGATTATGTCAATTCCTTTTCAGGCATGACTGTGTTAATCTATCCTTCTTTTCTTTCTTTGTTCATTTGATAAGTATTTATTGAACACCTCCTGCGTGCCAGGCACTGTGCTCGGTGCTGGGGATACCACTGAATAAGACAGACAAGGGGCCTACTCTCAAGGAGTTTACTTCTGGTGGAGGAGACAGATGATAAGCAAGTAAACAAATAAATAATGTAGTTTGAGATAGTGATTCAGTGCTATGAAGAAAATAAACTAGGGTGATGATTTAGAGTGGTGGGGTGGGTGGGGGTGGGGGCAGCATAGATAGCGGTCAGGGAAGGCCTTTCTAGGGTGGCAGTGGAGCCACGAGCGAAGCTGAGAAGCACCAGCTGGCGGAGCCCAGCCGCTGCGGTGGGCGGACCTGCTGGTGCCCGTGCGGAGGGGAGGGCGGCCGAGCGCTGAGCGTAGTGAGCAGCGGGGAGGGGAGAGAGACTGAGGCGCTCCGTGTCCTGATGTGTATAGGCCTTTTTTGGTTTTTTTGGCTAGATTGATATTAAAAACTCATGTGGAGGAACTCAAGGAATGTTTAGAAGACCAAAAGTCCCCAATGACAAGAACAAAAAGCAACTAATTTTTAACTTTGTTTCTCTTCTCATTCCTGTTTTCATTGATTTCCCACATGTAGTCCTTTTGCTCAGGAAGTCTTTGGGGAAACTAAGGCTCTTTGAAGCTCTGAAATGGGGGATCAGGTTAGTGGTATCTGTCAACTGTCTATGGGGTTGGAAAATGAACTACCCAAAATAGTCATCGAAATACTGAAACAAAGCGTGATTTCTCTTCGTATTTGAATTAATTTCTTCTGTTAGACTGGAAGGGGTTTTCGTATAACTAAAACCTCACCGCATAAAGGAGATTTAAAAGGAGCACATGATTTAGTGGGTGGGCCGTGAAAGTAGAGCTGGAATTTGGGGGTACATTGGTCACTGTCTGGACTCTGTTAACAAGCCTTGGGAAGTCACTTCTCATGGGTTTTCTCCTTTTCACAGAGGGCTGGCTTAGTTATTCGATAAAGCCCCTTCCAGGCCTGAACTCCTCCACTGCGATTTACTGTAGTGTCTTATCCCTCTTTCGTGTCACAGTAGCGTGGAGCATTTGAGAAAAGCCTAGACTTTTAGTTGATAGAGAGCCAGTTGAAATATCACTGATAGAATTTTAGTTTTAGGAAAAATTGGTTTGATTTCTAGCTTTATTACTATTAGGTATATGAGCTTGGGCAAATCACTTAACCTTTGAGTCTAGTTTTCTCACTTACAAAATGAGGATATTAGGCTAAATGATTTCTGAGTTTCCAGCTAGTCCTAGAGTTCTATATTTCTACATAGTTGAATTATTTTATCATGCTGTTGCTGGGGAATATGACTAACACTTTTGAAGCTACTAATTTTATGTCGAGCTTTAAAGTCCATAATTGTTATCTTCGAAAAATATTATTTGACCTACAGTATGTCCAAATCAATTTAATAAAATCACTTTATAACAGGGTTCTGTGCTTGACGTGTAGTTGGGTGAATTCAGTGGTCATGTGTGTGTGTGGTGGGTTGGCTTGTGCATTAAGCCTAGGGTGACTATATCATTTATTGCCCAAACTAGGCCCTTAAGAGCGAAGGTGGTGGGGGGTGCTGTTAATCCCTAAATGAGGACAGTAGGCCTAAACTGGGACTGTCCCAGCAGACCAAGTTGTGAGGACACCCTGGCCCAGGGGTCCCAGCCCAAGCAGGTAACAAATGACTAAATTGTGTATAAATTGCAGGAATAATTCAAAGAGGAGTTGTAAGGTCCGTGGCAAACTGGAGACAGCATGCCCTGCTGAGAGGAGAGCCCGTGCTTGGCTGTGGCCGTTGGTTTCCATGATGGAATACAGGCCTGAGGTTCCCACGTAGTCTGCTTTTTTAAGAAAAAACCAACAATCTAGAGTTTTACATGAAACTGAAAGATTTTTAAATGTTGGCAGCGAATTCACGTGCCCTATGTGATCCATTTTGGTCATTTGTGTTATCTGCCTGGTGCCCTTAGGCTTTTCTTTCATTTCGCAGGCTGTGCTTCCATCCCTCGCTCCTGGTAAGGCGTGACATACTCTTAGCTGGAGCTGTGGGGCCCATGTTCCGTGCAGCGGCCTCTGATGGTGTTCTGGCACCTGCTAGCTTTGAGGGGCAAGTCTGCATTGCACTTCCACCATCGAGGGGGAAGCAAGCCAAACTGGCCCTTTCGATGTGAGTGTGTGGGGAAGAGAGGTCACATCTGGGCCTAAGTGTCACCCCTTGGGTCACTTCTGGTGCCTGCTAGGATTTGGGGTGTGAGAGAGATCAAGGCTGACTTCACGGTTTCTAATGGGAGCCTGAGTCAATGGCAAATTGCATCTTTAAGACAGGAGGACCCCTATCAAGTCAGAGAGCCCAGCATCGTTCAGATGATCTGCTGTATGGGAGCGTGGGGACCCTGGCCCATTGTGGGCCACCTCGAGGAAGCTGTAGTGGTATTCTTTGGTGTTGTGTCAGCTTGGACATGATGCCTCCTAGGGGACCTTCCAACTCTTGGTTCTATTTTCCTAAAAAATTTAAAATTATTAAGCAGTTTTTCTGTACAATTTGCTGTTATTCTCAGGAAATTGAAAAAAATATGTGAATGGAAAGCAATTATCAGAAGCAGATGGAAAAAGTGCTCAATGGTAAAATCAAACCCCTAGGGAAGGATAAGAAAGACGCTGATAGCATCGCAGGCAGCAGGCCAATATAAACAGCACTGCCGAGTGGAGACGTGTGGATGGGAGCTACCGAGGGCGGGAAACAAGGGCGACACAGCCCTCACTCTGTGACCTTGTGCAGTTTCGTAACTTCTCTAAACCTCAGGGTTCTCATCTATAAAATGATTTGGACATTACCTAACTCGTGAGGTAGTTGGGAGAACTGAATAAAATAAACATGGATAAAGTGCCTAGCATTCAGTAATCCAACAGAAAAAAATGTTAATCCTGGTTGCCTATTAAGGAGGATGAGCCATGTGATTTGGGGTTCTCTTTGCTCTGCTGAGCACTGTGATGGGTCTGGACATCTAGATTTGGGGGTAGGACCTGGAGAGGGCTGAATTGCCCCGCGTGAGAAGAGAGAGAACTGGAATCTCCCGAGAGAGTCTGGGACAGGAAAATGCAAGGAGAGTTGGGGAGGGACTCGAACAGAGGGCCCAGTGGGGCAGGAAGGTGTAAGGGGCACGCATCTGCACACGAACCCTTGTGGCCACAGATCCTTCCCTGAAGTCTTAGGGTGCTTGGTCTGAGTGGATTCCTCATGGAAGCTGGTGGAAGGCCCAGTGCTGCGTCCCAGCTGAAGTGGGGCAGAACATGAATACCATGCGTAAAAGGAGGTGTAGGAGCCAGGAGAGGGCGGCCAGAGACCCTCAGCGCCAGGGAACGCAAGGAAGTCCTTGGCAGAGCTTCAGGTTCCCCGACCCTGTTCACCCAGAGCCAGGGGGAGGGGGGCTCCCGGTGTCCTTGTTACCGCTGCGCGTGGGCGTGAGGGAGAACAGTTCAAGATCATCAGTACATTGAAACTGTTTTTTATCGTTCCTGTATTTTAAGATATTAAGAGGCACGTGAGCAATCCAGAGATCCCAGGGCCCTGTGTTTATTGCACATGTCGGGAAGAGCCTGGCGTGGATCTCCGTGGAAGGCAACTGTTATACCAGACTGTTGTACTGTTCAGATCTAGGCATATGCAAATAATATACATTTTTAGAGTAAAATAATAGCATATATAGATTGCTCTTATTGAGTTTCAGGTGAATTTATATTTATAGACTCTTGTGTGTGTACCCTGCCAGTTACACTGCCTAAATCCTGCTTCTGAGAGTGGTTCACTCAGAGACTCCCGCCGCCTCTGTGCTGCCCCAGCCCCGTCCTCTCTGCATCCTGAGTTATGGGAGTGCTGTTTGTGGGGTTTTTAAACCCGGGATCTGTACATGGGTTGCAGAGAGG